AAACGAAAAAACTCATCATGACACATGCCACGAGAATGGTACATCTGGAAAAAGGCAAATATGTCTGTATAATCTGCATGTCACATGGAATATCAACAACAGGGTTTGCACACTGTGCAAATTAGCACACCGAAAAGTCGGCTATCAAATTGATAAACGCGGCTCTAAGAGGTGCTCGAATAGACAGCACGGCCGTATCTCACGCCCATTCTCGAATGATCAAATCAGAACACCGCGTTGTTCCTGTTGTTTGAAGGTCGATGATCTGCATACGTTTCTCGGCTGGTTGCGCGGTAAAAACGTGGGTGAATTCATTGCTCATGAAAATTAGAGGCTAAGAGGATTTTTTCGGGATTCAAACCCTGGGCCTACGGAGTTCGAAGTCAACTACTGATCAGTGTGGCTATCTCTGGAATACCTTAGACAGAACTACAAACTGGAGAGAGTGGATGCAACAAGCAGCAGCAAAAATAAGTTGGAAGATTTGCAAGAGACAGATATATTAGGGCAACCTTATTATTTTAAGACATTACATGGGAAAACCGAACGCATTATTGCTCAATAACGCCAGTAGCAACATCAGCAAATGCATTTCGCGTTAAGAGAGTCTAACTAGCTGAAACGAAGGAAAATACTTACCAAAAGAACTTCGCCAAATCCAATGCCACTGGACGGTACAACAGGCACATCTTTAGCTCGGTAAAGAAACATGGACACCCCGCAAACAATCATTGTCACAAAGAGATATTTTGTCCAGGGGTACACTTTTCTGAAGAGCAAAATGCCCAGTAGCATAATCGGAATCGGTTTGCAGGACTTACTGATAACCTAAACACGCAACATGACGATAAAATGAAAAAGATTTCTAGGCATCCGGGATATACAATCACCTGCGTTGGATATGAGACAAACTGCAGGGCGTGATTGCTCGAGATCATAGCAGCGAGGTAGCTAAAGGCGCAAGCTGCATATAGGAAAGTCGGAGTGTTGTCCAGTGCCTCGGCTGAGACAGACATAACTGAAAGAATAAGTAATAAGGTAGCCTTTAAAAGAGAAATGTCAGGTCACTACCAACTCTGGCGAATATGGAATTAACAACACACTGCACGAAAACCAATGATTGTGGATATAGAAATGGCTCCTTCTCCAGACCATAAGTACTTCTTGTTCTAAAGAAGGAAATATAACATTTTAAACAAACGAAAAGAATATAAATTAGCAAACATTTTTTCCTGTATGATACCGTAGTAAAAGTAGCAAATAAATATTCCCAAAGAGCAGAAGATAAACCTCGCTGAGGTCACCTGCATCGTATCTACGCCACTAAATGCTGCGACAGAAGGTTACCCAGTAACTGTCTATCTACGCCTTCAGGCATTGCTAACGTCAGTTATGGCTAGAAAATGATTCGCAAGTACTTACAGTACTTAAAATTCTGTTTAAATTAGAATGGTTCTCAATCATGCATAATAATCATGCTCTTGAGTTTCCGGCTATTTCAGAACAAATTATAAAATATAGGTGACAAAATTATTATGGCAAAGCATTGTAAAAAATAGTCAAGCAAAACAGGAGCAACAGATACTGACAAAAATCGAATTCAAATGAGGATTTTTCTGCAAAGCTTGTTTTTCACTCGTACATGAAGAACAAATTAGAGCAGTGGAACTACGGTTTTCACTTTGAGTATGCCTGTTTCAAGGCAAAATTTTCTTGGCATATATAAATGAAAAGTACTACTTTGCCGGGTTCACGATAAACGCTGCGTTATGCAGTTCTTGAGGCGGCACAGCAATAACAAATTCAAGGGTAGATTCAAAGGCAGAATAATAATGGTTTAACAACAGAAGCGAAATTTTTATAGCAGTCAAAGATAAGGTGTTAAATTTCAGCATTTTGCTTTTTACAGACTTGGAAAGAGTCGCTTTATTCGAATGAAGATGATATCTCCGTCCAATTTTCGCAAATTTTTCTTCCAGATTATTCAGCATATTGCACTACAGGTTGGTTTTCCACGTTTTATGATCTACAATTTCTTCAAGAAGAGTTTCCGGTTTACGGTTTGTTTAAATCCCTCTCTGCGCGCAACAACACTCAAGTGAAACACTGAATCAGATTTTGGTGCAGAATGCTGGTTGATGTCAGCGATTTGTCCTGCCGTCGCCTCATTGAATTTGTATAACTAGACAGTTGTCAGCTGCATTAGTTGCGTGGATCAACATATCATGCCACATATCACCGTATGTCTGTCTGTGAGTGAAGTATGATGCCCCTGTCAAAGTAGTGAATTGCATATTACAATTCGATTGTCATAACTACTAAATATTCGTAATTTAGCGTACAAGAAGCAGTTTTGAGGGTGAATTTATGTCAGTGGCAGATGGTCCATTTATAACAACGATTTTAATTCGCTCTTCATATTGCCTATCAATGGAATCTCTAAGTAGGCATAATACGAAGCAGTTGTCAAGCTTGATTATCAACGGTTTTCATTCTCCGATTCCAACTTGGAGACTGCGCAAAATTACTAAGTCAGCGCACTATTTGTCTGAAAGTTTGAGTTAAAATGATTTTGTGTTTATCTCTATCAACTGTTTCACTTAATCCACTCGATAACGCTTCATCATCTTCCATCGCCGCTTCTCCTTTGCGGTCGCGGAGGCAGACGCGTCAGACAGTGCTTCCAACGTTCCCGATCCTGTGCCAGAGACTGAGCTTCGG